GCGTTGCCTGCGGGGCATTCGTCGGTCAGGATCGCACCCCCACCGCCCCCCCCCCTCCCGGAACAAAAAGCGCGCGGGGCGCGCGGGTGACTTCGACGCGCGCGCGCGAGAGGCCCGCTCGGTCCCATGCGATGCCAGTATTGACACGCATGGGTTTCCCCTATGCCTTCGCAATGGCGCTCTCGCGATGACTTTTGGCGCAAACCTGACATGTTTTTCACGCGTTTGGGGGCCTCGATCTTGGCGTCCGCGCCCCGGCAGAGGTTTTGGAATGAATCCGACGCGCGCGCGACGGCGCGCGCGTGGACATCGCTTCTGCGTTTCCAGGGCATCTTGCAAATGGCTTTTCCGACGGGCGACTTCGCGCGCGCGCAGTTTGATGCGACCGCGGGTCGGAGGGCGATGGGGCCGCCCCCTGGGGCGCGATGAATTCGCGCCCAACGCGAACGACGAGGCTGAACCACGCGCGAGTTGCAGTGTCCCACGGGGGTCGATAAACTCCGTGCTCGGGGGCGCGGCGGGGCCGGGCATGTTTTTATCCCCCCCGAACCGTTTGGGGTCGCTAGGTGTTGAGAACAGACCTCCCGGCCATCCCCACCGTGCATACCGCGGCCGCCAGACCCCAGGTTGCCTCGAGTGCCTTGGTCATCCCGCCTCGCGCCCTCGACAAACACGACAGAACGCACCCTGCATACCGCGGCCGCCAGACCCCATGTTGTCTCGAGAGTTCCGGTTGTCCCGCCTCGCGCCCTCGACAGACACGACAGAACGCACCCTTCATACCGCGGCCGCCAGACCCCATGTTGTCTCGAGAGTTCCGGTTGTCCCGCCTCGCGCCCTCGACAAACACGACAGAACGCAACTTGCATGGCGCGGCCGCCAGACCCCAGGTTGTTCCGAGAATCCCGGGTATCCCGCCTCGCGTCCACGACAAACACGACAGTTCACAATATGACACAACAGAACATGACAGAACAGAGCAAGAGCCTGACAGAACATGGCAGAACATAACATAACAACATCATGCCAAAGCCCATTGACATGCCCTCCTGCCGCTGGTAGAAGGCGCGCAGGGGCGTTCGAATGATTTCGATATGCGCGCGCGAGGGCCCGCGTGGTCTCATTTGAGAAACGCGCTGCGCAGTGCAGAGTGTGGGGCCCGTGAAAATTTGCGACAGTGCGCGCGCATACCCTGATGACAGCGAACGCTAGGAGGCACTAGTTCTTCAGTGTTTCGTACGCGAAGGTCGTGATGCGTGGATTTCGGCATGCGCGGGCGGAGACGCGCGCGCGTGAGCACTGTTCCATTTGTTGCTATGGGTCCCCGAACGTTCCTCCAATGCAGAAAAGCTCGCGCATGGTTTTACTTGACAGGGGCGGGGGTGGGTAGGGGGACGACAAGAACATCCAGTGGGATGGCGCGGATTCGCATGCGCACTAAACGATGATGCAATCACATAGGAAAAGTGCATCATCCCAGGGGGTAGCGATGAGTCTGGGCTCGGGAGGGCGGTGGATTTCATCTGCAGTTCCGAAAAAGGGATATTACATGTCGCGCAACTATTGTTTCACGGTTGGCGCATCCCCGCCAGTCCGCGCAGAAGTTTTGCCAGAAGACCTAAACGGGACAAGGGGCAAAGAGACACATGCAGCGAACCAGGGCTCGGCCGATCCATGGGGAACGCGCGGGAGGGGGGGGGGAGAAGGATTGCGCTGCATCTTCGGGGGGCTTTGTCTCTCCCCAAACTCGGCTTCTGTTCTCGATGCGGATTTGGCGCGGACTCGACGCGGATTCGACGCGGACCCGACGAGTCTGACATGGATTCGACGCGGATCTGGCGCGGTCAGGGCCACGACGGGACAGGCAAGGTCACCCGAGGATACAGCATGAGATGAAGAGGAAGCACGCCACCCGTTGGGCCCATGTGGGACGCTCTTTGGGCGATCTCGGGGCCGTCACGGGGCCCTGTTGGGGTCGTCGTGGAGGCGATCGGTCAAACAGAGGGGGTCCTCGATGTCCGTCTTTCCTCTTGGGGCCATCAGAATCGCCTCTTGGGGTGGTGTTGGGGCGTTTTTGGACAGATCTTTGGCGTTAGTGGGGCCGCGTTGGGAGCCTTTTGTGCCCTTCTTCGGCCTCTCGTGGGTCATCTTGAGGCTTCGAGAGCGCATGGACACGACAGTGCGAGAATGCAGCACCTATTGGTTTGCCTCAGGTGTTTGGATGATTTTGCTTGCTTGGGCTGAGGGTCCTGGGGGAGTGCCGAAAGCACTTGGAACCGTCGTGTGGTCCTTGTCGGACCTCTCGGAGGTACGCCAGAAACTCGATTGAACCATGTTCGGCTACCGTGAGCCGTCTTGGAGGCCATCTCGGAGCATCGCTGACCCTCGCGGGGCCAGCTCGGGACGTCTTGTTCGCCCTGACTGATTGCGGCCCGCCCTGGCAAAAGCTGCGCGGGAGGGAAGGGGGGGAACACCCCTCCCCAAAGTGAAGAATGGCGCTGGAGGTGGAAAGGGAGCAATCGCCAGACCACCTAAGCCAAAAAAGTTGGTGGGATCTTCGTAAGTAGTGACTTGTCAACGCCATTGTTCGCGCACTCATCCGACCCTCCCGCCCGCTTTCTGGTGTGCAAAGCTCATGCGGCGGCGCGTGCGTTGACTGCTTGGCATTGGTTGGCGCATCTCCGCAGACGCGCTAGCGAGCGCAAGCTCGCCCACAGAGCGCCCAGCTAGTTTGGCGCGACTGATGCGGCCGCCGTGGCGCGAACCGATGGGAACTCCCGAGCGCGCGTCACGTGACGCGCTGTCGCGCGGGTGCTTCAGTTAGGGTCGGTGGCTCGAGCGCGCGCGGTATCATGGTGACGCCGACAACGGCGGAAACGATGATGATAGTAGCGATGATGGCGAGGATGATGGCGATGACGGTGGCGAAGCCAATGACGGCGCCGATGTTGGTCACGCCGATGGCGATGATGATGTCCCTGCGTCGCTGATAAAGATTTTGGCACGGTTTGGACGGGCGCGCGCCAGTGGCCCACGCTGTATACATTGACAGGGATCGTGCCCCCCGTCGCCTCCCCCCTCCCAGCAAGCGCGCGGGGGCGCTCGAATGAGTTCGACCTCCGCGCGCGGGGGGGCCTGCGTGGTGTCACTGGGTAGGCATGTTGACAAACACGCACGGGTCCCGCGAGAGTTCGCGGAGGCGCCCGCGCTTTGGTTGAAACCATGGAAACCTACAATGATTCACATGTTCCCGGGAACCTCGACCTTGACATCTCTACGACACGCACGGTTCTGGAAAGTTGCTGTCATGCGCGCGCGACGACGCGTGCGTGTGGACTTTGTGCAACTTGCTGCAAAAGAAGCTCGAACCATCTTTTTCAATCCACGGGTGCGCTTTCACAGCATCATCCGACAAGGGCGGGGGAGCTGATGAGGGTATCCCCGGGGAGAGTCTGAACCCATGTGCGACCTGAGCGATCAGGCGTGCGCAAGGGGGACCGATAAAACCCGGGGTGTGGTAGAGTCAAGTCGCTGAAATAAGGAACAGTTTGGGTAAGACAGGGGCTCGATATTCCTTAGGTCCTTCTATGGCCTTTCCTCTAGCCTTCCTCGTGCACGCAGGCGCTTGTGGGGCCAAAAAGGGGCTCCGTTCCGTGTTCATCGTTCCTTCTTTCAGCAGCCCGACTGCCGAGTCTGTTCTCCTGTCAGACAGGAGAGTCTAGGCCTCCTGGATGGGGTCGGAGTAGATGGGGTCGGAGGATCACGCCGCATCGCCGATGCATCGGCGAGGCTGCTCGATGTGGAGCCCGATGTGCCTCACGTCGACGTCGCCGATGCATCGCAGACATCGACGATGAGTCGCCGGTGCATCGCCGATGCATCGCCGATGCATCGCGGATGTATTGCCGATGCGGCGCGATCCTCCGACCCCACCTATTCCAACCCCATGGAGGAGGAGGAGGAGGAGGAGGAGGAGGAGGAGGAGGAGGAGAAGGAGGAGGAGGAGGAGGAGCAGGAGCAGGAGGAGGAGAAGCCCTCTGGAGAGTCCACGAGGCCCGCGCAGGCCACACGGCACCCGCCCTGCGGCGGCGACGGGCCGCCACGAGCCACCGCAGGGCCGCACCAGCACGGGGAGGGCCAGAGACGGGCGGGCGGCGACGCGGTGGCCACGCCAGCTGGACTTGGGCGTTGCGTAATAGGGGGGTCATACATGGGGGGGTGGCGAGAGTGGTACGAAAAGGTACCCAAGCGGTACCTAAACGAGCCCCCTGGGGCTCCGGAGGGGCCCGAAAGGGGCACGACAGGGGACCGTTTCTGACCCCCCCCTTTATGACCCCCCCGTTAAGCCACGCCCGATGGACCAGCACACAGCGCCGGCGGCGCGGAGGGTCAGCGGAGGAAAGTGTTTGCCCATCTTTTGGGCCGCCTGGGAGGCCCTCGTCGCCACCGCTGGATTCGCCTCGAAATCCTGGTCAGAACGCGCCCCGGGAGAGGTCCGGGAGGTGGCGGCATCGGTACCTTTGGGTTGCCCCGGCTGGACCAGCACACAGGTCGGGTGTTGCCAGAAGTACCCCTGGCCCAAGGTGCCCCCAATATTCTTGGGGTGGCCCAAGCGGCCTCCAGGGCACCCCGCACGAGGCCCAGGGGGCCCCAGGGGCTCCAAAATGGTGCGAAAAGCTGGGGGCAGCTTGGGCCAGGGGCACTTCTAGCAGCGCCCGAGGAGGGCCAGACGGGCGGCGGCGACTGGCGGCGACGAGGGGCGACGGGGCGGACACAGGCCATCCCGGGCGGCACAGCAGCCCAGCCAGCGAGTAGTGAAAAAGGTGTTCTCGGGACGTCAAAGAAGTGTCCACGGAAATGTCTCGTCCGCCGATGGCTCCAGGGGCCTACAGGAGCGCTGGGGCACCTTAGATATCCTTCAGAGATCGCTGACAAGTGCGCATAGCCAGACCTCTTGTCGCACGCGTCTTCTGCCTGGGCCCGCTCGTCCCCCGTGGCAGGAGACGCTCGCCGGCGTGGAGCGCCGGGTGGTGGAGCGCCTGGACCGCCTGGAGTCGAAAGTGGACCTCCTCGCCAGCGGGCCCCGCGGGACTCTCGCGGCGCCCGGCGCTGGGGGGCCCACGTGCTCCACGGGCGCCGGCGCGGCCGGCGGGGCGCCCGCCGCCGGGCTCGCCCGGCGCAGCGGCCCGAGGGAGCCGGCCGGGAAGGGCCCCCCGCGGAAGTCGCAGGCGTCCCTCGTCGAGAGGCGGCTCGCCGGGGTGCTCTGCGAGGACCTGCTCGGGGCACTCGATTCGGCCACGCGCAGAGGGGGGGGGTAGGGGGAGGGGGGGGGGGGGGGGGCTTCTTAGGAGCGCCCCTGCTTCTTGGAAGGCGCGGGCCCTGTCTGTAGATGGAAGGCCCGCGTCTTCCAAGAAGCAGCCTCCTTCTAAGGAGCCTTCCCCCCTCCCCCTACAGTCGGGGCCCTGAAGAAGGAACCCTTTTCGTTGGGGAGGGGCTCCGTGTTCCTTGATTGCTTCACAGTTTGCCTTGGGTTGTCCTTCGGTTTTCGATGGGAAATCGAAGTTCAACTTTGGATGAAAGGGGCCTCGTTCCTTATTTAGGGTTCCTTGGGTCAACGCCCCGACTGTACCCCCTTGTGCGCGTCTCCGGTTGATGACACACCGCCGCCGCGTGCCTGGCCACGGCCGTCCCCCGAGAGCAAAGGCGTGGCAGTCCTTGCCACACTGGGCGTGGTCGCCCAGAGCCGGGCCCCAGGACAAACACATAGATCGATTCTGCTCGAGCAATGTCGCAAGACATATTCGGTCTGGGGCTCAGGGCGCATGTTTTTTTCGCAACGTCGGATGTCAGGGTCCCTGGCCCCAGGATACTGCATGGGTACTCCTGGTCTCGGCCAGGAGACACTGCTTCCCTCCCCTGCGACAGCGGCCGTGACCATTGGGGAGGGAGGGAAGGGGACGGTCGCGGGAATGCCCGAATGGTCGATTCCCAGACGGCGCTGGCGCGCATCGTGACGTGACCATGGGGGGGGGAGAGAGGGGGGGGGGCGGGGCCAGCCACGGGTGTTGCTGCGAGTGGTGAACTCATGGTTCCGAGAGGGCGCATCCTCGGCCGCCCCCACGGCCGCGACGAGGCTCGCGCTCCGCGCGATGTGTGCGGCCTTTGGCCTGTGGGCCGCCCTTCTTCTCCGCGGGAGTCCCCGCGAGGGTGCCGAGCTGACCGCGCGCCGCGGCGGCGCGGCGGCACGACGCCGGGCGACCCTGGCATTCACCACCCACCAAACCACCCCAACCCAACCCGAAGGCCTCAATTTGCCCTCCGTTTCCAGTGGGGGGTAGGGTCGGGGAACATCGGAAAAAACACATATGGAGCCCGTACCCCCCCCCCCAACCCGAAATTCGGGTCTTCTCTTCGGGTTGGGTTGGGGTGGTCTGGTAGGTAGTCAGGCATCCGCCGTGGCAAGTGCCACCCGGGGTAGGCGCGGGCCCCGAGGCCGCTGGTCCGATGGCTTTGTCCACGCGATTGGCGGCAGCCGAGCCCTACCCTCGCCGGTCCACGCTGGCGGGACAGGTCGGAAAGGGCGGCGCGGGCGGGGGGAACGGAGCCCGTCGACCGCGCCGCGGCGTCCTCCTCCTCCTCCTCCTCCTCCTCCTCCTCCTCCTCCTCCTCGTCCTCCTCCTCCTCCTCCTCCTCCTCCTCGTCCTCCTCCTCCTCCTTCTCCTCCTCCTCCTCCTCCTCCTCCTCCTCCCTCGTCGCTGCCTCCCGGCACTCGGATCATAGATCGGCTCTCCAGCGGTTCGGGACGATTTCTGGCACTGCCAGAACACTCGGCGGAGCGCAGCTGCTGGAGAGCATCCCGAGGCTGGAGAACACCGCTGGGCACCGACGAGAACATCAGAAAAACGCGAGCCAGTTCCCCCAAGGCGCCATGGTGAGGATCGGTGTGGTTGGGGTTGGATGTCGCCACCTTTTCGATCCGCGGCCCAAGAGCCAAGAGATCCCGACCCCTTCCTCGGGGCCAGACTTGCGCCCCGGATCCATCCTCGAGGCAACAGAGATGGGGCCTGGCAACGGGGCCCAGGTGCCGAAGTTGAGGAACAACCGCCCAGATTGACAAGAATCGTATCGCCGGAGATTCCTGAGATCGGACGTCACGAAGCAAGAACCAACACGTGATCGATTTCTTATGTGTTGTTTTGCGGATCGGCGCGTGCCCTCGCACCCCCACATCGAGTAGACCTTGGCTGGTTTGGGCGCCTGATTCGAGCAGGTGGAGTCTCTCCCCCATAGGACGCACTGTTGCAAACAGCCGCGCTAAGAAGAGGTCCGGAGCCAGATCCCCCCCTCCCCCCCTTCCGCCCAACGTCGAAGCGCCGAATAAGAAGTCGCTCACCACCGCGAAAATCGGCGGCGGCAAGCGAGCGGGGGAAATGAGAAGGAGAAGACCTCCTCAGAAGGCGACGAGGCTCCTCTGAAGACATCTGGCCTTCTGAGAGGTGTCTGCGTCTTCGGGGAAGGCTTCGGAAGCCTCTCAGAAGGCCTGGGGACTTCCGAGCCTTCTGGGAAGGCTTTCTCCTTCTCACTTCCCGCCCTCGCTCGCCGCCGAGAAAGATCACGGCCAGAGCCCTGGACCTCATCCTCCTGCTCCATCTTTCGAGCCGCACCGATCCGTCGGGGCCCCCGGGGCCCCACACCGGGCGAGGGAGCACGCGGTGTGGAGCAGCTGCCGCGCCTCGAGCGCCAGAGCTTACACGGGGTGCTGCGCCCCCAGACTTCCAGCTGCTCCGACTTTTTTTTCATGCCTGGGCCCCAGAGGTCTGGACCCATTTCCCAGGACTGGTTTTCCGTCCCGCGTCGTTTGGTTGACGGAACCCAGGGGTCCTTCTTGGGCGGCCCTGCAAGGCGCCGGCGAGGGCCCCCAGAGGCCCAAAGCGCCCCAGAGCTGCCCGCCCAAATTTTTGCTGGAGCGCCGTAGTTTGGGGTCCCCCGTGCCCCCCGGCCCCTCCCCGAGGAGGAGGACGAGGATGAAGTGGAGGCGCAGGAGGCGGAGGCGGAGGAGGCGGAGGAGGAGGAGGAGGCGGCGGAGGAGTTGGAGGAGGAGGAGGAGGAGGAGGAGGAGGAGGAGGAGGAGGAGAGGAGGAGGAGGAAGAGGAGGAGGAGGAGGAGGAGGTGGAGGAGGAGGGAGGAGGGGAGGAGGAGGAGGAGGAGGAGGAGGAGGAGGAGGAGGAGGAGGCGGAGGAGGTGGGGGAGGCGGAGGAGGAGTGATGGAGGAGGAGGAGGAGGAGGAGGAGGGGTGAGGAGGAGGAGGTGAGGAGGAGGGGAGGAGGGATGGAGGAGGAGGAGGAGGAGGAGGAGGAGGAGGAGGAGGAGGAGGAGGAGGAGGAGGAGGGAGGACGAGGACGAGGACGAGGACGAGGACGAGGAGTAGCAGGAGGCCCCCCCAGACCTCTGGCTGCTCCAGTGTCTGTCGCTGCGTGGGCTCCTGCGGGCCGAGGACCTCGAGCGCACGGCGGGCGCCGGCGCGGCGGCCCGCCCGCAGCCGCCGCGGGAGGCGGCCGCGGGCTGCGGGCCGCTGGCCTGGGCGGGCGGCGCGCTGGCGCCGGCGGCGGAGCTTTGGGCCTCTCGACTACACGCAAGAGTGACCTCTCGCCGGAGAGGAGGAGGAGGAGGAGGAGGAGGAGGAGGAGGAGGAGGAGGAGGAGGAGGAGGAGGAGGAGACGGGGGGGGGGGAGGAGGGGGAGGTGGAGGAGGAGGAGGAGTAGGAGAGGAGGGAGGAGGAGGAGGAGGAGGAGGAGGAGGAGGAGGAGGAGGAGGAGGAGAGTGTCCTCTCGCCGGAGTGGCCTGTGGTGCGGGCCCTATGAAATCGACGCGAAGATCGGGACAACATCGGATCGGGATAGCTCGAAAGCTCCGAGGATCGGCGGGTTTGGAGGACGTATTGGGCGCCGCGGCCGCTCCAGAGCGTTCCGGAGCGCTCTGAGAGAGCTCCGGAACGCTCTGGAGCGATTTATCCCGATCCTAGCCCTGTTTTACCTATGGGGTCCCCCGATCGCCGAACGCGATGCGGTATTGGCGTGCGGCCCCCAAGGGGCCGCGCACCAGAGGTCACTCTTTCCCCAGGGTCACTCTTGCGTGCGGCCGGCCTTGGCCTCCCAGATGGGGTCGGAGTAGAGTGAAGTCGGGCCAGTCCCTCTAGAGGAGGAGTGTCCAGACATGGTCAGGCAGATAGTCTGGGGACGGTGTTTCTACTTCTCGTTGAACATATTTTCGACTCAGTTCTGTGTTTCTCCCGGAATCCGCCTGTAGGGGCACGGGCCCGACCCAAGTGTAGATTCGAAGAAGGAAGACCGTATATAAACATAAATGTTCGACGTTCCGCTTGGTTTTCTTGGATGGGCGCATGGCCCCCCTGGCAGCGCCTCCGGCGCCGCCCCTGGCGCGCGGAGCGCACCAGGGAGGGGGGTCCAGCGCGGATGCAAGAAGTCCGAGCGGAACGGCGAAAGTTTATGCTTATGCCGTTTTCTGCCCCTCTATAGATGTGGTCTGAGGATCGCGCCGCATCGCCGACACATCGACGATGCATTGGCGACGCATCGGCGATGCGCCGGGGATGCACCGTCGACGTCGGCGAATGCATCGGCGACGTCGACGTGAAGCAAATCGGGCCCCACATGGCGCCGCGTCGGCGATGCATCTGCGATGCATCGGCGATGCTCGGAAGCCGGGCAAGGGCTGCCAAATCCGTGTCTGCTAAAATCGACCTCCAGGAAATTGTCTTCGTCCTTCCGGGAAGAAGCCCGTTGACTGTTTCGAGTGCCGCGCCTCATTCGGGGAAGCTGTTTTTCCCTCTCGGGAGGGCCGCTCTAGCAGCCACGGTTTTAGTAGCCCTCGCTCAGCTTCCGAACCTTGCAACCGTTGCAGCTGTTGCAAGTCGGACCGACCACTACCCCCCCCCTCCCTGCCCTGCCTTCCATCCCCAGCCGTATGTCGGGCGTGTCCCCCTACCGGGGGATTTTCGAGCCCATCTGCTCCGACCCCATCTGGGAGGCCCAGAGGAGCCAGAGGGGCTCGGGCGGGTGCGGGTGCAGTCGCTGTCGGACTCCAGCGGGGAGCAGGCCCCCAGCCCTGCAAAAGCCGAGACCGCGTGCGTGGTGCAAAATCAGGAGGGGAAAAAACACACAGACACAATTTATCGTCGATTCCTCAGAAAATATATGAAAATATGGGAAGTGGGGGGGAAGACGAAAACCAAGAACATATTGGAAAATATAGGGAATCATTTCATTTGTGTGTATTTATTTGTGTGTCCCAGGGCCCCTTCACAAAATAATCACGGCGTTTTTTTTTGTTTTTTTTCCCCATGTTTTCGTCCTCCAGAGGCCTTCGCCGGGCCCCAGGGCCGGCAAACATTCACCCCGGGATGAAGAACGGGGCCCAGGGAAGGGGTCCAGACCTCGCGACGTCGGGGGTCCTGGAAGTTGCCAGGGAAGGGAGAGGCCCTCTGATGGGTTACCGCTGCTGGTCCCTCGCGATCGGTCGTTTGGGGCCTCCTGGGAGGCCCTCGCCTCTGTGGCTGGATGCGCCTCGAGAGTCTGGTCAGAACGCTTCGGGAGGGGAACAAAAACACACAGACACATTCAATCGTCGATCCCCCCGAAAATGTTGGAAAAGATGCGACGTGGGGGGGAGACAAGACCCAGAAAATATTTGAAAAAATATTGGGGATCCTGTCATTTGTGTGTATTTATTTGTGTGTCTCAGGGCGTCTTCAACGCTCCCCAGGAGAGGTCCAGGGCGTATTTCTGAAGGCCCGCGCAGGTTTCTCGGATCGACGTTGGGCCTTCACCCCCCCCTTGGCGGCGGTGCCTCCGGTGCCGCCCTGTGGGGCGCAGCCGCGCACCAGGGAGGGGGGTCCAGCGCAGATCCAAGAGATCGGCGCGGACCTCCGAACATTTCTGCTCGCGTCGCGTTTCGCCCAAGGAGCATCAGGAGGGAACAGCAGGCGCAGGCACAAAGGAACGTCGATTCCCGGGAACAACAGGGGGAAACTGCGAGGAGCGGGGGGGGAAGACACCATTCCAGAAGATACCAGAAGGTATCGTGAATCCTTCAACTGGTGTTGACTTGTGTGCGCCTCCTTGGGCCCCTTCTGAGCAGGGGTAGCGGCGCCTTTTCGGTTCCCTGAGCGGCTGTTGTTTTTGTGGGCGGGCGCGGATCGATTCGCTGACGGCCTCGAGCGGGGAGCAGTCCCCGCTGCCCCGCAGGGCCCCTGGGGCAAGACGCCTCGAGGGAAGGAGCACACTGGCCATGGCCAAGCGAGGAAAGCAGTGGTCGTGCTGGGGGGAGGGGGTCTGGTGCCTGCACGGTACTTGCGACTGTGTCACGGGCACCTTCGGCAAGCGCGGTAGCATTCATGTTTTGCTTCTTTGCCGCGGCTACGCCTGTTTTAGTGTATACATGCATCGGCCAAGATGTCGCGTGTGGGCTCGCCTATTGCAGCTAGGACCTCAGGCGTTACTGGGTTTGCATCGTGCATGTGGTCGGGCACCGGTGGTGTGTATTGCCGAGAAAAAAGGTACGCGGTAGCACTGATAATCTGATCATAATTCCCAGACCAATCTCCTCCCGACCCGATAGTTGTCTTTCTGACCTCGATGTCGCGGGAAATTGTCGTCGCCAATCTTCGGCCGGTATCGTTTAGCCGATCCCTATCACCATCTCCATCCTGATCCCCACTGACCCACCACCCCAGTTGGAGATATGCCCCTCGAGACCCGAAGGAAACAGCCTATATCCCTATCCAGAGGGGTAATTCGACCAGTGGGCCCTAGGCCACGCCAGCGGGATAGGGGTTTCTTCCACGATGCTCGAATCTTGGCTCGTCGATTCGCGAAGATCCGAACCTTGATTCAACGCATCTGCGGTGACCAAGATGCAGGCGGGGAAAAAATCACACAGACACAACTAAGCGTCGATCCCCAGGAAAATATTGAAATGGCCTCTGGCCAGTGCCGCCGATCCGGGGCGCTCCGGATGATGATGATGATGATGATGATGATGATGATGATGAGGATGCTGATGCTGATGCTGATGCTGATGATGATGCTGATGATGATGATGGTGGTGATGATGATAATGATGACGATGACGACGATGACGACGATGACGGTGACGATGACAATGACGATGACGATGATGATGATGATGACGATGATGCTGATGATGATGATGCTGCTGATGATGATGATGATAATGATGATGATGATGATGATGATGATGATGATGATGATGATGATGATGATGATTATGATGACGACGATGATGATGATGGTGGTGGTGTTGGTGGTGGCGATGATGATGATGATGATGATGATGATGATGATGATGATGATGATGCTGATGCTGATGCTGATGCTGATGTTGATGATGCTGATGACGATGATGCTGCTGCTGATGATGATGAGGAGGAGGAGGAGGAGGAGGAGGAGGAGGAGGAGGAGGAGGAGGATTTTGATCATGGCAATGACCATGATGTCGATCATGATGATGGGGATGGGGATGCTGATGCTGATGCTGATGATGATGCTGGTGATGGTGACGGTGGTTGTGATGGTGATTAAGATGTGGCGCCCGGGACTGTCCAGGATCGCTCTCGGGATTGCCCGTCACCGCGTCTGGCACCGCGCAGGACCCCGCCCGGGACGGCAGGGACGGGCTGGGAGCGCCCGGGACCGCTCGGGACATCCAAGAGCGCGTTCCATTCCGGGGAGGTGCCCGGGGGTTCCGGGGAGGAGTTCCGGTGGAGGGTCCTGGGGAGGGTCCCAAGACAGTCTCGAGGAGGGTCCTGGGGAGGGTCCCGGGACGGGTCCCGTCCGATCTGGGGAAGGTCTCGGATACCCTCCCGAACATACTCGGGTAGGGAAATCAATCAGAAAAGGGGTTCCCCAGGGTGGCGGGCGGGACGAGTCAATTAAATGGTCGGTTAAACGTTTTTCTTCCCTCCCTCCCCCCTCCTTTCCCTTCCCGGCAGACCCACCCCGGCCACACCCCTTTGGCGGGGTCCTTGGGGGCGAGTTGAGGCCTCTTGGGGCCTCTTGGGGGCGCCATGGGGCCTCCTGGGGGCCTCCCGGTCGTCTTGGGCCCTTCTTGGGCCGTCTTGGAGCCCTTTTGGGCGCCTCTTGGGCCCGTCCCGGGTCCCTCTTGCGCCGTCTTGGGGGCCTCCTGGGCCTGCGCAAGCCCTTCTTAGGCCGTCTTGGAGCCTTTTTGAGGGCCCCTTGAGCCGTTGTGGACACTGCGACGGCACAAGAGGCGAACGTGCTAAAAATGTAGGTTTTCCCAAGGGAAATCGATGATTTTGGCCGCTCGGGGCCCTTTTGGGAGACCTCTTGGGGGCCTCTGGGGGCGTCTTGGCGGCCTCTTGGGTTGTCTTGGGTTCATGTTCGGCGTCTTGGATGGATTTTTGGGCGATCCAGAAACGTCTTGGCCCGTCTTGGCGGCGTCTTGGCAACGTTTGGGCGCGTTTTGGCCAACCGAACCCCGGCCAACCGAACCCAATATGTGGAAGACCCCCCCCCCCCCCTTTACCCCGGCAGAGCCCCCCTGGCCCCCCCCCCCCCCTTTCAACTCACACGCCGGATCGGGAATCCTGCTATTCGTGTATATGTGTGTCCCAGGGCCCCTTCAAAGATGGACGGTGACCAGATCCGCACCGCCGTTGCCGCGCTCAGCTCGGGCCATGGCCCAGGCTGTTTGCCTCCGTCCAGTCCAGGCGGGCCTGTTCTCGCGATAGCCGGCCTCTCTGTCTGGGGCCGCTCGCGAACCCTGCCCCTGGGGGGTTGGACACCCCCGCCGGGGCCCGACCTTTGCAGACATCCTTCGAATTGGGAGCCCCAGCCGGCGTTGGAGATATCTGACCTTTACAGGATGCGCGCGGTTGCCTGCTCTGCTCTGGAGGACGCTCTCGCGCGCGGGGGACACCAGGAGGCGGGCCAGGATGGCAAGGTGGCCCGGGAGGGGCTTCCGCGGATACCGCTCTGAAACAGCCACGGCGCACCGATGCGTGTTCCCCCACAGGTGGCCGTAATACGCCGCTGTGCCTGGCCAGGGCGACCCATGAAACCCCAGAAGCTGTGTGGACCCAGACGCCCCCTGACATGATTGTTCAATGCGCGGCCCCACAGGTCCCGACCCGTCCGTAGGAGCAGGTTTTCGCCCTGGACTAGATTTCAGGGCCCCAGGACCCGAAAACGAGCCCAGTCGTGGAAATCAGAGAGGAAACGCCGATTGGACATACAGTCGGGGCCCTGAAGAAGGAACCCTTTTGGTTGGGGAGGGGCTCCGCGTTCCCTAAGTGTTTCGCAGCTTGCCTCAGGTTTTCCTTTTGTTTTCGATCGGAAATCGAAGTTGAACTTCTGGAAAAAAGGGGCCTCGTTCCTTCTTTGGGGTTCCTTAGGTCAAGGCCCCGACTGTATCAGGATTCTCGTCGTGGATTGGCTTGAGGCCCCAGCATGGTGGGGACTCTCCTGGCCGACACCCGGAGACTGCGTCCACCCTCCCAGCGGGGCCGTGGCACCCCCGACCTTCAGTGGGCCCTGGAAGCGACAGGGCCGTTTTTGTTACCGGTTCCGTTGGAGGAGGAGGAGGAGGAGGAGGAGGAGGAGGAGGAGGAGGGAGGAGGAGGAGGAGGAGGAGGAGGAGGAAGAGGAGGAGAAGGAGGAAGAGGAGGAGGTTCTGCCGTTTTTGTTGCCGGTTCCGACTCCGTTTTTGTTACCGGTTCCGTCGCCGTTCTTTTACGGGTGCCCGCTCCGGTTCCAATCCTTGGAGCCGTTTTCATTGCCGTTTCCAGTCGCCGTTTTTGTTACCGTTTCCATTTTCTCATGGGACATTTTTCGGAAACGGTGAAAAAGCGGCCCTGCCGTTTCTGGGGCCCGCTAAGCCCTGACCCGTTTGGGTCAGGGCTGAACCTATAGACGCTGTGTTGCTGGACTTCGGCTGTGTTCTGTTGTTTCGTTTTGGCAGCGAGGTACAGGAAAACAGGCAGAGCAAAACTCGGGCCGAACGAAAGGGGGGATAGGGAAAGGGGGGGGGTACGAAATCGGCTGCATGCAGCTGGTTTCGGCCCCGCCGCCAGGCCCATTCCTTGATACATGGGCGCCTCAAGTCGGGTCTACCCCTCTACAGGAGAAACGTTCAGAAATAGTCCAACACAGTTGTCTGAGGACGATCTTTCTGACCATGTTTGACCATTTGGGAGTATGGCTTGACTCTTTTAAATCACTCGTCCAACATCCGCCTGTAGGGGGACATGCCCGACCGAAATGTAGGCGAGAGGAGGAGGAGGAGGAGGAGGAGGAGGAGGAGGAGGAGGAGGAAAGGAGGAAGAGGAGGAGGAGGAGGAGGAGGAGGAGGAGGAGGAGGAGGGAGGAAAGGAGGAGGGGGAGGAGGAGGAGGGGGAGCAGGAGGAGGAGGGGGAGGAGGGGGAGGAGGAGAAGGAGGAGGAGGAGGAGGAGGAGGAGGAGAAGGACGAACCCGGGCACGGCGGTGTGCAAACTGCCGCTCCCCGGCGGTCGAGTCGCTGCCCAGCGGGGCCGTGGGCCTGCCCAGCCGCCGGCCGCCCAGCACCGCGCACCGCGGGCCGCCCGGCAAAGGCGCACGGGAGGTGCAGGACAGCACACGCACCATCACCCCGCATGCAGGTGCCCCACTCCTCCCTCCTCCCTCCCCAGACCCCCTCGAGTCATGAAAAAATCTCGACGCGATGTTTTTCGCCATTTTCGGCCTCCGGGGGCCCTTACCGGCCCTCAGGACCGTCAAAAAACGACTCAGGATGAAAAGCCGGTCCCGGGGAATGGGTCCGGACCTCTGGGGGTCGCGTCATGAAAAAATCATGACGTGGGGGGTCTGGGTCCTCCCTCCTCCCTCCTCCCTCTTCCCTCCTCGACAGCATCCGAACCAGGGCACGGTGGTGCGCAGTGGAGGGCCAAGGTACTCTTCCCCGCGCCCGCGACGAGGATCAAGAAGTACTGGAGGCAGCGGGGGGGTCGTCGGCAGCCTCTCCGGGTTGGCAGCGTGAGAGCGCCCCTCGCGGATCCGGATCGGTGACGGGGGCCGCCTGGGAGTGCAGCCCACCTGCAGATCAACCGAAGAAGAAAACATGCCATAAGCATACAGTGGAGGCCCATGCCAAGAAACACCCTGCTTGCCTCCAGGGTGCCCTGGGTTTCTTGGCTTTGGATGGTTCTTGTTCTGGGAAGCGTGACGCTCCCACACCAAAAATCAGGGGACGTTCTGGGATTTCAGGTCTGGGCTTCGCGTGGAAGGTTTCTTGTGGACGAGCCTCCACCGTACAAACTGCCGCTCCTTAGAGGTCGAGTCGCTGTCCAGCGAGGTGTGGACCTGCCCCACCGTGGTCGTGCAGCAGGACGCCCCCAGCGGCGTCCTCACCCTCGAGGGCGGCGGCCTGTCGATGGCGAGCCTGTCCGCCCCGTCTTGTCAGAACGAGAGGATGCCAGGGGAGGAAAAGGTGCCGACCAAGCTCTGCTCGCAGTGTAGACAACATCACGACGGTGTGTCTCTGGCAGTTTTTTCTGAGTCCACGAGCCTGGACCGTCAAATAGTCGACTCGGGATGGAGCATTGGCTCTGTGGAAAAAGGTCCAGACGTTCGGGGACCCCGCATGGAAAGAACCACGACGTCATATGTTTGCGGATGCCTGCTATGCCCTGGACGACCGGCGCGGAAAAGGAGACCACTCTTTGCGCACCCCCAATGGTGTTCAGAAAGCGCCACGCCTGCTATGCCCTGGACGACCGGCGCGGATAGGGAGACCACCCCTTGCGCACCCTCCATGGTGTCGAGAAAGTGCTACACCTGCTATGCCCTGGACGACCGGTGCGGATAAGGAAACCACTCCCTGCGCACCCCTTCTAGTATCGAGAAAGCGCCACGCCTGCTATGCCCTGGACGACCGGCGCGGATAGGGAGACCACCCCCTGCGCACCCCCTATGGTGTCGAGAAAGTGCCCCGTCTGCTATGCCAGGACGACCAGCGCGGGTAGGGAGACCACCCCTTGCGCACCCCCTATGGCATCGAGAAAATGCCACGCCTGCTATGCCTGGACGACCGGCGCGGGTAGGGAGACCACCCCTTGCGCACCCCCTATGGTATCGAGACAGTGCCCCGCCTGCCATGCCTGGACGACCGGCGCGGATAGGGAGACCACCCCCTGCGCACCCCATATGGCATCGAGAAAATGCCACGCCTATTATGACTGGACGACCGGCGCGGATAGGGAGACCACCCCGTGCGCATCCCTTATGGTGTTCAGTAAGCGCCACGCCTGCTACGCCCTGGACGACCGGCTCGGATAGCGGCCACGCTCAGAAAGCACGCCCTGCGCACCCCTTATGGCATCGAGAAAACGCCACGCCTGCTGTGCCCTGGACGACCGGCTCGGATAGCGGCCGCGCTCAAAGACCACCCCGTGCGCACCCCCCATGGTGTCGAGAATAACCTCATCCTGCAATTATGGGCCCCCCCCCCCTCTCCGGCGAAAGTATAACGCACCCGGCACCCCAGAAGCGTTACCTTGGCACCTCGCACCTTTATGTGAAAGCAGACGAGTCTGCTCGCCGAAACAAGCAAAGGGCCCGAGACATTCTCGCAATATTTTGGCTCTTATTCGCCATTGCCTCTTGGCCCAGCTAAACAGAACAAATCCTCCTGCTCCTCCCCCTCAAGACTCCTTTACGGCACGGCACCAACACGAACGACGACAAGAATACCAGCAATAATAATTAATTCTAACACAAGGCCAATAACAGCAACACCAACAACATCAACATCAAAAAGCACCAACAACACCGGCAACACCAACAATATCGACAGTAAGCCCGACGCAAGGGAGAGCCCAGCTTTGAAAATGAGCCGTCCGTGCCTACGATGCGGGGGCCGAATAATTTTGGCGGTGCGGGTGCTAAGATAATGCGCCGTGCGTGGCGGGGGCGATATCCTCAGATTACCCCGCACGACGGCCGGGAAAAGCAAATTGTTCAATAGGGGTGGTAATCATAATCGTATAGGACAAGGACGATGAAGAAATTGAGAAAATGGAGGGAGGCAGGAAAGAAGCAGGGGAGCCCGTCTGTTTTTGAATGTGTATTATTATCATCCTTACTCGCATTCGTATTATTATTCTTCTGATTGTTCTTATTATTAGTTTTATTATTAGCTGTGTTATGATTTTGATTATTGGTCTTATTATATGTGGTTTTCTTGGGCACGCTGCCGTAATTTTTTTGTGCGGGTGTGGTGCTAAGATAACGCGCCGTGCGTGGCGTGGGCGATATCCTCGGATGCACTACCCCACGCGACGGCCGGGGAAAAGACATGTTTCCTTTCCAGCAGGGGTGGTAATCAGAATCGTATATGACAAGGGTGATGAAGAAACAGAGAACAAGTTAGTATTATCATTATTCGTGTTCGCATTCGCGCTATCACTATGAGTCTTATTCGCATTACTATTATTACTGTTGTTGTCATTCGCATTCTTATTCGGATTATGATTCGTAGTACTATTATTTGTTCTTCGTGTTACTCTTAGTCATGCTCTCATGTTCATTGTTAGTCTTACTAGTTAAATTGTTCGTATTAAGATGTTTCGTATGCTCATTCGCATTTTCATTAGTATTAACGTTGTTTTTCGTGTATATATATATATATATAATCCGAGTTTGATTTCTAGTATTATTATTAGTACTTGATTCTTACTCTTATTCTCAGTATCGTTTTTCTCTTACTCTTATCCCTATCATTATTCTTCTTATGATTATTGTTAGTATTAGTCACATTTTTCTTATTACTATTATTATTATCATCCGTAAGGGTTTCGCCCCCTGCAGCCGGCCCCCTCTCTCGGATAATGGGCCATGGAAGAGCGAAGTCATCAGGCTTTGGCTTCACCGTGAAGCAGCGTCGGAACTTCGTGCGAAGACGATGGGTAATTGGCAAGACGAATGGAGATTGCGAGTCTATTGTTGTACTCGCTGTTTTATTTTTCATTTGCTCCCGTATGCTGTGCCCAAATCTTCTCCCCGAATTTAAAAATGTTGAAAGTCTCTTGTGTCCTGGCCGCGCGGAAGTGCGTGAGGGGTGCCCCAGAATGCAAAACATGTGGCAAATCCTCTGTGTTTTTGGACCCTGGCCCTGTCGATCCGCGCGACGGGTGCCAGCCAATGTCAGGAATGTTGAGAATCCTTTGTTTTTTTGGAACCTGACCCCGCCGATCTGCGTGAGAGATGCAAACGAATTTCAGAAATGTGGCACATCCAATATGTTTTTGAACCCTGACCCCGCCGATCTGCATGAGGGGCTTCACCGCATGTTAGACATGTGGCACATCCCATGTGTTTTCGGACCCTTACCCCGCCGATCTGCGTGAGAGGTGCAAACGAAGTTTAGAAATGTCGCAAATCCAATATGTTTTTGCACCCTGACCCCGCCGATCTGCATGAGGGGTTTCACCGAATGTTAGAAATGTTGCACATCCCATGTGTTTTTGGACCCTAACCCCGCCGATCTGCGTGAGGGGTGCCAGAGAATTCCAAACATGTGGCAATTCCTATGTTTTTTTGGACCCTGACCCCGCCGATCTGTGTGAGGGGTGCCACCGAATTTCAGACATGTTGCAAATCCCATGTGTTTTCAAACCCTAACCCGCCGATATGCGTAAGGGGTATTAATTTCTATCCACCCCAGCAATTCAAAACACACACTCAGGGCGTGCTAAAACTGCCCGTTTGGGCCTCCCCCCTCGCGCGGTCCACCAAAAAGGATCACTAAGCAGCAAGAGGCAGAACTGTAACAGTGGAAACTGAAAGCTGCAACTGGTACGGGAAGCTGCGAAGCTTCGGCCTACAGCCTGGTGGCCCCACAAGGGGGCCGGCGGATTCTTTTTGATTTTTTGCATTTCGCTCTTATGAGTATTCTGTTTTCTTATTCCAAGTCCAATTGCGATACCACCCGAGCCGGGGTGCGGAAATTATGTGTTGTCGTTCCATTTGCGCGGTGCTAACCATATCGTTCGGCGAAAACCGCCCCCCATACTCATTTAGTCACGTGTTTGTGCTAATTATACACCCCGGGGGGGTCCTTAATGGTTTCATGAGGTTATGCCACGCCTGCTATGCCCTGGATGACCGTCACGCATAGCGGCCGCCCTCAGAGACCACCCCGTGCGCACCTGTTGTCGCGCATGTGTTGCGTGGTGTGCGGGTCATGTGTTTGCGTGCTTGTGTGTGTGTGCTGTGTTGTGTTGTGCAGTGTTGCGCTGTGCTGAGATGTGCTGAGCTGAGCTGAGCTGAGCTGTGCTGAGCCGTGCTATGCTGTGCTGTGCTGAGCTGTGCTGAGCTGTGCTGTGCTGAGGTGCTGTGCAGTGTTTTGCTGAGCTGTGCTGAGCTGAGCTGTGCTGAGCAGTGCTGTGCTGAGCAGTGCTGTGCTGTGCTGTGTTGAGCAGTGCTGTGCTGCGCTGTGCTGTGTATGTGCTGTGTGCGAAGAAGAGGGAGGAGGGGAGGAGAAGGAGACGCGGGTGCAACGCGGCAGGGAAGAAAACCAGAACCCCACGAAACGTGTGGGGAAATAGTCAAAACATATCAAAGCACGGTGAACAACAATGAGCGAGAGATCGTCTAAGAAATCCGCGCGGACTTCCGAATGTTTGTGTAGTTCCTCTGGTTGCCGAGGAAGCCGTCCCGCCAGGCCGCGGAGCTGTTGAAGGACCTGAAGGTGTGGCGGCGTCCAAGAATCCCCGAGCGCGTTTCACTACTCGCGAAGTGCCTTACCCGCAAACGCCAGAAACAAAAACATGTCTGCATCGATGCAGCGTATCGTGGATCACCCATGGCGGATCCAGGCCATTTGCGAGTAGCTACTTTGCGAGTAGTGGAACGCGCCCGTCTAAAGAAGGGTTGACGGGGTAGACGGGGTGGATGTCATGGGGCCATGCTATCTACCAGTGTTCATGGCTCCCTTCTGCTCCTCTTAAAGCTTCCCTTGTCCCCCGCTCCTCCGCGCACGTGCCCCGTGCCCTGATGCGCACACACAGACATCTTATTCCCTGCCCCTTCCCTTTGGTACGCCCGCGAGGCGCAGGAGGAGCAGGTCGAGACCAAGGTCGGCAAGAGGGCGTTCACCTCTCAGCACAGGAGGAAGATCATGAAGCGCGCGGATGCCTTCAGGCACACGACGGACACTGCCAGGCAGGGGCGGTTGGCGGGCATCTTGGCCAAAGCGGTGTCGTCCACACAGTTCGACCTCGCGATCACGGGCATTGTGTTCTTGAATTCGTTGCTCATTGGGGCACAGGTGCAGCACAACGCGGTTTCGGACAAGACCGTGGACGCGTTTGTGATCATGGAGTTTTCGTGCACGGCAGTATTTACAGTCGAGCTCTGCTTGCGTTTGGCGGTGCACCGTTCTCGTTTCTTCACCAATCCCCAAGAGTGTTGGTGGAATGTGTTTGATTTTGTCTTGGTGGGCCTCTCTCTGCTCGACGCCTTCATTAGCCTTACCTTTGATGGAGGACTGGAAGGGCCCGGAGCGTTTATGGGCAAGCTCGGGAGAGCAATCCGTATGTTTCGAATCGTGCGCATCATTCGCACCGTGAGATTCCTGTCGCAGCTTCGAGTGATGCTGCATATGATTGTCAGCTCCTTGCAGTCGCTGTTCTGGATCTTGGTCATCATGCTAGGGCTGATCTACATGTTCGCCGTTGTCCTCACCCAGGGCGCCGCCGACTACCTCAAGGACCCCAGCATCCAGCAGCTCTACGCCCACACCGACGAGTACCGGCAGGTGCTGGACATGTACGGCTCTCTGTTCGACACGGTGTACACGCTGTTCATGTGCATGTCCGGAGGGATCACAGGGGAACGAAGAACGACGTAAACATAACAATTCGGAGGCCCGCGCGGATGTCTCGCACCCGCGCTGGACCCCCCCTCCCTGGCGCGCGGAGCACGCCAGGGGCGGCACCGGAGGCGCCGCCAGGGGGTCCAGCGGGGATGCGAGAAATGCCCGCGGACCTCCGAGTTTTTATGTTTGTGTCATTCTCCGTTCCCCTGGATCAACTGGGGGACAGCCTCCCAGCCAATGCGTGGCCCGGGCTGGGTCCTTGAGGCCATCGTGATCGGCTTCGTGTTCTTCATGGTGTTCGCAGTCATCCCCGCTGCGCTGCCGCGCCTGCCCGCCAACACCGGGCGCTGTGTCGGAAGCGGGGGGGATCAGGAGGCGAGCGGAAGGCGCACTTGCACATGAACTGTCGCGGGTTTCGAGCGTATGTGAACTGCGCGGGCATTCGTAACACGCGGCTGCGGACGTCGGAGACGTCGACGACGACGGCGACGACGTCGACGACGAAGACGGCGAAGACGACGACGACGAAGACGGCGACGGCGACGCGACGACGACGACGACGACGACGACGGCGGCGACGGCGACCACCACGACGACGACGGCTGGGCGCGTACGTCTGTCTCTTGTGGGCTCTCCCTCCTGCCCACCGCACACCGAGCCTCGTTGTCTCGGGGGAGGCCGTCGTTCGGAGGGGAGCGGGGTATGCCGGTGCCGCGGCACTTCCCTCGTCGCCGCGGCTGGATTCGCCTGGAAAGTTTGGTCCGAACGCCTCTCAGGAGAGGCCCTTCTCCTCCTCCTCCTCCTCCTCCTCCTTCTCCTCCTTCTCCTCCTCCTCCTCCTCTTCCTCCTGCTCCTCCTACTCCTCCTCCTCCTCCTCCTCCTCCTCCTCCTCCCTCCTCCCTCCTCCTCCTCCCCCTCCTCCTCCTCCTCATCATCATCTTCATCATCATTCTTCACCTCCTCCTCCTCCTTCTCCTCCTCGACGTCGATATGTTTTGGTTTCTCCAGGGGTGAGTATTGAAAGCAGGCAGTCTGGAGGCATGGGGCATCCCGTCGGCGCCTAGAAAGCTCAATGCGGCGTGTGGTGTGTGTGTGTGTGATTAGATGCTTGTTTGGGGGACCTTTTTGGGGCCCACCCAAAAAATCGGTTCGACCCCAGTTCGATTCAAGTTCGACTCAAGTTCGATTCAAGTTCGACTCGAGTTCAACTCAGGTTCGACTCAAGGTCGTCTCGCATCGACGGACTTTCGACGCAGCTTCGACGCAAGAGTGCAGCGAGTGCCACCAGGAAGGTCCCCAGGATGAGCATCCGGGCGTGAGCGCCGACCTGCCAGGAGCGAGGGCCGTGCCGAGGGTCGTGCAGAGCTGGCGACCTTCGGGCGGAATTCGGGTCTTCGGGCTGGGTTTGGGTGGCTTGGTATGTGGTCAGTGGCGGGGGCACCGCTCGCCACAGGGCGTGGCTGCGGGCCAACATTGTGAACGGGGTCTTCGTGGACGGCGCCATTGAGCTGGCCAGGCGTGACCGCACGACGATGCTGGAGAAGCAGAGGGAGGACGAGGACCGGCGGCGAGCCGTGGTTGGGCAGCGAGGAGGGGCGAGGAGGAGGAGGAGGGAGGAGTGGGAGGGGCGAGGAGGAGGAGGAGGAGTAGAGGAGGGGTCTTCTCGGAGGGCTCGGAAGCCCCCCTAGCCTTCTGAGAATGTTGTTCTGCGCTTCCCCTGCAGACGCAGAGAGCTTCTCGGGAGGCGCGAGGGCTCCTGAGAAGTCCCGCCGCCTTCTGAGAGGGCCTTCTCCGTCTCGCGTCCCCCCCTCGCTCGCCGCCTAGAGGAGAGCAATGAAAAGCACCTGATACATCTGCTGACGTTGATGGACACGGACGGGGATCAGACGATTACGTTTGACGAGTTCGCGGTGAGTCTGGAGTCAAAGGAGGTGGTCGATTATATTTCCGCTTTGGAAGTCGAGATCAGCGATGCGAAGGTATTCTTCCAGATGTTAGATGTCGACGGGAGCGGAAAAGTTGACATCATAGAGTTCATCAGCGGGATGCGGAAGTTCAGAGGTGAGGCCAAGAGCGTTGATATACAGATGATGATCCACGAGAACAAGAAATTGTTCAAATTGGTGAGCGGGCTTGTTGGTGTGCTTTTGGCGCAGGAGGACGATGAGTATGACTAAGGGAATCACCATATAGTCGTATTGCAGCGCCCGTGTTTGCACGGGTCGGTCGTCTGGTTTGAGGGTGGCAATTTGGTTCGTGACATGATCTTTGTTCTCGTAGTTGAGTCTCTCTTTCTCTCTCTCTCTCTCTCTGTCTCTGTTTTTCGCTGCCCACTGCATCCCCCTGCGGCGTCAGGAGTGCAGCTGAATGCGCGGAAGGCAGCGACTCTGCTCAGGCTGTAACTGTAGCCGGGGCTCTGCCCAATGCGCAGGGAAGCCGGCGCGTTTGCGCGGTTCTCCAGCTGAATTGGGCAGTGCCCTGTGCGATGGGAGGTTGGCGACACATGGGTCACATTTCCAGTCGCACGCGTTCTCCCGTCCTGTCTTCTGTCATCTCCATGTACCCTCCCGAGATCATTGTCGCCAACCCGTTTCGTGTTTGGCTCAGAGCGCCTGCCGACGTCAGTTGTGCATAGGGTGCGTTTAACCTAGATGGCCAGAAGCCATATTGCGTTTCCTCTTTGGCTTCGCTGTTCTCGGGTACATGTTTGGCCCACGTCCACACTGCGCGCTCCCTTCCCGCGCTCAACCATCTGGTGTCGCCGTGTCCCCTTTGCGAGCTCCCTGCGGCTCGTTCTGTATCAGAATAGTTCCTGTGCGGCGCAAGACTTGGCCAGCCGCTGTTCACTGCTCAGCGCTGTTATTTCTTAAGCTTCCTGAGGAGGAAGATGAGGAGGAGGGGGAGGGGGGGAGGAGGAGGAGGAGGAGGAGGAGGAGGAGGAGGAGGAGGAGGAGGAGAAGGAGCAGGAGGAGGAGGAGGAGGAGGAGGAGGAGGTTCCAACCTTGGCAGGGTCCCGGATCGGCCGCGCGCCCGGGGGCTGGCGCGAGGAGTGGGCGGGGCCCTCTGAGACGGCAGGGGGGGCCTTCGAGGGCAGGGGGGTCTTGCCCGGGGGCTTTGGGAAGGCTTCTTGGAAGCCAACTGGGCGCTTCTGCGGAGGTCCCTTCTCAGAACCCCCTCCCCCCTGCCTTCGGGGGCGGAAAAGAGGAGGGTGATGACTAGGGCGGGGTGGATATCATGGCGCGGCCATGATATCTCTGCAGATTTCATGGCGCCTCTTCTTATTCCATTACGCCCCTGGCCCCCCCGCTGGGCCGCGCACATGCCGCCGGTCATGATTTGCACCCCCCCCCTCTTGGACACCCCCCTCTTGGCCGCTCCCGATGCGGAGGTCCCTTCTCAGAACCCCCTCCCCCCCTGCCTCCTGAAAAGGCCCACCCCCTGGCGCCACCCCCTTTGTGCGCGCAGCCATCAGTCACCAGGAAGTGCCTTTGGGCCGTGTAAGGCTGATCCTTCCATCTCCGCGCCGCATGGCGACGTTTGGTCCATGGGAGCCTGAGCTTCGGCAACCATCCCATCAATCAGTCAATCAACCAGCCTGCGAGATTATCGGGAGCACGAGCGGGCGGAAATGGAGGAGGCTGGGGAAGACGAGATGAGGCTGCGCAGGAGGAGGAGGAGGAGGAGGAGGAGGAGGAGGAGGAGGAGGAGAAGGAGGAGGAGGAGGAGGAGGAGGGAGGAGCGGGGGGAAGCTGAGGGTGCGATGGGAAGGAAGAGGGGCGGACGAGGCTCAGCTGCAGGACGTGGAAATATATGGGGATGAGCAAGGTGTGTGAAGTGGAGTAGGGTGCAGTCAGCCCGCATTGAAAGGAGGGGCAACCTTCCCAAGGGTACCCTTTCATCCTTGCTCCTTCCAGCCCATCCGTAGCGACTTTCGCTGGCCAACCTCGCCTGAAAATCGCTAACGTGGCCCTCCAAGGCCCTTGCATCGTTACCGCGCATCCTTATGGGACGGGTTGGCTGTAGTGCTGGGTTCCTGAGCAGTTTCATCACGTAACCCGTCCAGTTGATCGAGCCAGCTTGGCCCTGCGATGCGCTTCTAACCACACGCCAGTGTGGATCCTTCCATCTATGTGCGGAAGACTGCGCTCCCGGCTGCAACACGTGCGGATCCCCCAACGACCCGCAGGTTGTTGGGAGTCGCTCGTCGCCGCCAGGCTGATCGCCTTCTCCTTTCTTGAACTAATTACGTGGAACTGGTAGCCCCGAACCCCGTAGGTCAGCGGCCGTATGGGTCGTCCAGACCGGACACAACAAAAAGTCCAGACCCTCTTAGGAGGAGGAGGAGGAGGAGGAGGAGGAGGAGGAGGAGAAGGAGGAGGAGGAGGAGGAGGAGGGGGAGGAGGTCTGGACGACCTCGGCAGAGATCGACCGTGGCCTCGCCCCTGGTCGTCGGGCAGCTCACTCAGCGGCCGCTCCGCGCCTCGGAGCAGTGGATCGGGTGGGTCAGCCCCTCTGGCTGTGCCGAGGCCCTCGCCCCCCCCACGCGCGCACCGAGGCGGCCGCCCAGAGCGGCTGTCAGGAAGCCCAGGCTGCATCTCCTGGGGAGCTGCATTCCTCCTCCTCCTCCTCCTCCTCCTCCTCCTCCTCCTCCTCCTCCTCCTCCTCCTCCTCCTCCTCCTCCTCCTCCTCTTCCTTCAGCCAGAACCTCTGCCTGATCCGGCCTATTCCCTTCTCGTCGGGTTTCCTGTCATCCTCGGCGCAATCTGGCCCCAGTCTGGTGCAACGGCGTTGCAATCGGGACGCATAATTAGGCCGTGATCGGCCCCACGAAGAATCCCAGGAGTTGCCCTCTAAGCAAGCATGGCGAGCCACGCCAACCCAGGAGTCTGGCCATCCCCCCCTCGCCGAGCTCCGCCAGCCGCGTCGCATCGGGAGTCGAACGGTAAAGAGGAGCAGCGGAAGCAGCAGGGAGCCGACCGAGGTGACTTCTCGCCAGCGCGAAACGGAACACATCTCCGAGGCCGAGGGTCCCCGATGGCAGAGCTGGGCACGAGCGGCACGGGTGGGTGCTGCCCGTCTCCTCCGCGGCGTCCGTGGGGGAGGCCCGAGGAGTGCCAGCAGCGTCGGATTGGCGCCCCTGCGGCAGGAGACCCTGAAGAGCCTTGCGCAGATACGATGGGGGCCAGGATGTGGGGTCACGATTGGGGTAACGAGCAGTGACATAAACACACAAACTCGGAGGTCCGCGCGGAGTTCTCGGCGCTGGACCGCCCAGGCGGTGCTTCCAGCGCCGATCCCAGAAACACGCGCGGACCTCCGAGTTTGTCTTTTGTCGTTGTTCGTTTCCCTAACGATGGGGGGCTACAAGGGACGGGTATAATGGCAATGGGGGTATAGGGGTAGGGACCAGGTTCTCTGCGAGAGTGCCGAAAACTGTCTCGGTCACTTCCACCCGCCCTTCTACTACATCAGTGGCACCCGAGACTCAGCATGGGCAGGGGCCGCCATCGACATCACTTAGACATCAATTCAGAAGCCAATGTGGCACACCTGGCATTTGCGACGCCCCCTGCGCCGCAAATGCCAGGTGTGCCACATTGGGCAATCTGTCGACCTCCCAACGGTCCCTGTCAAGCGTCAATGCAAAGTGACGGTGGATTTCATAGCATTGACAGCACTGTGTACTGCGTGTGGGTGGGTGTGCGCGCGCATACACTCTGCATTTGTTTTGTGCGAGTGATGGTGGGCCCGCAAACAGCAGGCAGTATTCCGACCCGAGGAGGAGGCGGAGGACAAGGAGGAAGAGGAGGAGGTATTCTTGTTTGAGCCTCCGCACAGCTCGCAATGTGCCGACCAGCCCCACCGCCTGTAAAGAAAGCACAATGCTGTGTTGTCCCAGGGCGTCCGCGCATGATCCAGATGCTGGTGCAAAGTGCAGTTGGCATTGCTTTTTGTCGCCAGGGATAGTTTGGGGGGTGTTGGCGTTCCTCACAGCATGCACCACCCCCGCCGTCCCTGAATGCAAAGTGATCGCGAGCCGTCCGCGCATGATCCAGATTTCGGTGCGAAGTGCAGTTTGCATTGTTGTTGTTGAGGAGGAGGCGGAGGAGGAGGAGGAGGAGGAGGAGGCTAGGGGTGGTGGGGTGTGTTGGCTTCGCTCGCAGTGCGCCAAGTGCTGCCCGTGCCCGCCGGCCCTGCCGAAAGCCGATGCGAGGAGACTGTGTGGCGTCTGTGTGCGATCCAGATGTTGGTTCTGAATGGCACTCTGCATTCATCAGGAGGGAAAGAAACACACAGACACAAATCATCGTCGACTCCCAGGACAATATGGAAACATATGGGAAGTGGGGGGGGAGACAAAAACGCAGAAAATATGAGAATCTATGGGGAATCATGTTATTTGTGTGTATTTATTTGCGTGTTCCAGGGCCCCTTCGATTCTTTCTTACAAGGGGTGTGGGGGGGGGTCGTTATCGGCCAGGTTTGTTACCGGTCGGTTGGAGCAGGGAGCCGCGTCCAAGCGTGGCGAGTACGTTTGTTCCAGATCCACCCTGGAGTCGGTGGCGGGGCCCAACCCTGCCAATACCAGCGAGGGGGACGAAGACACACAGGAGGGAGAGGCGGTGAGTCAGGTCCAGGATCGGCGTACATCGCCCTCGGAGCGTTCCCGAGCCGCTCTCGGAGCGACTGGGAACGCTGTGAGAAGGCCGCGGCGCCGCCAGGTATCCCAGATTCCCGATGGATCCCGATCCGGTAGCGTCTCGATCTTGGCCTCGTCTTAGGCGGGAGGGGCAGGAGGAGATGCATTCGCAGACTGCCACGTGGATTTCGTACGCGTGCACAGCATCAACACGACCGCTCCGCAACAGAAAATGATGGACGTAGGCATGGGGTCATGTAGCATTCTTCGGATCGCTGCGAGGTCCTCCAGCGTTATCTTCCTTCGCCATCCTCCTCCGCCTCCGCCTCCTCCTCCTTCTGCGCCTCTTCCTCCTCCTCCTCGCTGGGCCTCGGGACCGCCAAAAAAGGACTCAGGGCAAAAAGTTGGCCCTGGGGAAGTGGTCCAGACCTTCGGAGCCTGCGGGTCGACAAGCATTGGAGCAGCCAGATGTCTGGGGGTGCCTTCTCCTCCTCGTCCTTCTCCTCCTGCCCCTCCTCCTCCTCCTCCTCCTCCTCC